CACACACACACACACACACACACAAATAAATAAATAAATATTAAAAACTTAAAAAAAAAAAACAAAAAAACTATGGTTTGAACTCAGGCCCTTGTGCTTGCCAGGCAAGTGCTTAGTCTACTGAGTTATCTCCCTGGCTCTACCTGGTGGATCTTATTTATACTTTCAGTTTCTTAATTTTTTTTGTGTGTGTGTGTTTTAGGGAAGGGTATACAGAGTGTTTTGGATCTCACTACTAGATCCGAAGGACTCATAGTGTTCTGCCTGTTTACAACCTCCCAAGAGCTGGGATTGCAGGCTGGTACCACCACGCCCAGTCTCAATCACCATTTCAGCACACCCTGGGGGTGGGGTTGGCTTGGCAGACCTGAGGCCTGGGGACCGAACCCTGTACCCTTTCAGTTTCTTACACTAAGGAAACAATATGATATTTATGCATACAATTATGATTCATTTCACTTATTAGCATAGTCTCTAGTTGCATCCATTTACCTATAAAAGCCTTGAGTTTTTCTTTAGAACTGAGTAGTATTTCATTGTATAAAAATACCACATCATTTTTATCCATTCTTCGGTTTATAGACTTTTGGGTTATTTCCAAAATTTAGAGTTGTACAGGAATTTAGTTTTTTTATCAGAACCGGGGATTGAACTCAGGCCCTTGTACTTGCCAGGGAAGCGCTTATTCCACTGAGCCATCTCCCCGGCCGGAATTTAGTTTTTTTAAAAAATTAATCATTTATGTGGATAACTGAAATTCAGAGTTTGTAATGGTGTCATCTTTGGTAATTTTGTCTAATTAAAAAATTAGATTGTATATTTGGCAGATTTTGTTTCCTCTGTTGTAGAGTTGATTCTGAAAAAGGAGGTTGCCTTCTAGCCTTGTTCTCCCTTTGTTTGTGGGAACCTCTCAGAGCCCAGGTCATCTTACTTTTTTCCTTTTATGGTATCTCTGAACATTGATGTAGTAGAGCATGATTGTAGCTCCTGTTTACTTTTAAAAGTCAAGACTGTCTGGAAAATCATGATTTTTCTGTTGAATAGTGAACATAGTGATACTCCTACCTCAGCTTTCCCACTGCTGGGATTACAAGCCTGTGCCACTGTGCCCAGTTTTTTTTTTTTTTTTTTTTTTTTTTTTGTGGAACCAGGGATTGAACTCAGAACCTTGCGCTTGCCAGGAAGAGTTTATTCTACTGAGCCATTTCCCCGGCCCCTCTATGCCCGGTTTTGAGGCCAGCATGGCATGCAATACCAGAGATTGAACCTGGGTCCTTGCATTTGCCAGCCATGCACTTAGACCACCGAGCTGTCTCCTCAGCCCTCCATACGCTTTCTGCTCAATTCACATTACTCCAGTCTGGAGCCCTATTGTGTTTTGAGAATTTAAACAGTTTACTTTACCTTTCCCTCCTTTTGGCTCCTAACTTTTCAAAATTGAATGTATTTGCTTATCTAAATGATAACAAATTCTTTCAAGTCCTTAGTATATGTTTACTTCTTGTTTTAGGATGTTCATTTTTCTCAGTACAGGGCATATATGTCATATTGTTTCTAATGCATGCACTTTTATAAGTATGTGAGTGAATCCTACATTAGAAAGTTGATTTTAGCCGGGTGTGGTGGTACATGCCTGTAATATCAGCACTTGAAAGGCTGAGGCAGGAGGATCGCTATGAGTTTATGAGTTTGAGGATTGCCAGGGCTACATAGTGAGTTCAAGGTCAGCCTGAACTACATAGTGAGACCCTTTTTTAAAAAAAAGAAAAATCATTTTGAAAGAATTTTGGGAGTAGTTTTAGTGGAATTTTTTTGTTTGTTTTTTGGTTGGTGGTGCTGTGGATCTGTACTGATGACCTTCATCACCATTTCTAAAAGGGAGACTTTCTTATTAAGGTAAGTGGAAGGCTTCATTCCTATCATTGAATATTTTCATTGTCTTTTTTCTTATTGTAGTTCAACCCTGCTGGCTTTTGTCATGGAGCTGTTGAAGAACTCAATTGCTATGCAGGAGCAGATGCTTGCCTGTAAGGGCTTCTTAGTCATAGGATATAGTCTCGAAAAGGTAAAGTAAGACATGTCTCAGGTTTTTAATTTGTAATTTGCGGGACATGTACTTGTTCTTCTAAGTGGTTAAGAAATTTTGCTTGTATATATGTCTCCTTGGTCACAAAAAGTTGTTTAGAAAAACATTTTGTCCTTTAACTTTGCCTGAGTTCCCCTGTTCAAGAATTATGGCAGAGCCTCATGCCATCTTTAACTTGGAGCATAGACTGTGGGCCTCTATTTTTCTGGTGTTGACAACCTATAATTTATTTACCTTGCCTTTGAATTGGTAGTGACCTTTAAATTACTTTTCTTTGCAGTCTTCCAAATCCCATGTCAGCAGAGGAGTACTTGAACTTTGCCTTGCGTTTTCAAAGTATCTTAGCAATCTACATGATGGGATGCCCCTACTCAAGCAGTTGTGTGACCACATTCTTCTTAATCCTGCCATATGGATTCATACCCCAGCCACGGTATCTTGTAGATTTTGTTTTACTGTCTTTGCTGACTTTTTTGTGCTTGAGAAGTGAGAATTACGAGTGTTTTCTCTAATACTTTTATATGTAATTATAAGGTCAGCAGATGACCTTTTTTTAATGTACTTTGGTTTTCAGGAAAATTTGCAACTTTGTGTTTAGTGTATGTTTTTCACAAAAACATAAATCAATGTTTTTAAAAAATGGAGCTTTAAAAATTGGATCTTTGTTTCTCATATTGAATCAAATAATGTGTTATTTGAGGGAAGTTTTGTTCATTAAAAGTGCAAATCAAAGTTGGGCAGTTTCATTGTGTTTCCTAGTAGCTGATCTCTGTTTATTGCAAATATGTAGACATAGTTTGAGTCTGAAACACCTTTCCCTGCTTTCCCCATTTCCCATTTCTTCTGCCAACTTGGTCAACTCACAAGTTTTATTCTTTTTTTTTATAGACAAAAACTTTATTTAAAAAAATTTTATTGAGTATTAAATATGAATGAGACAGTTTCACAGCTGATTAATAGGACAGTTTTGATAATCAGTACACTGTACATTGTTATCTTCTTAGTGGTTATCCATAGTACAAGAAGCAGACAGGATAGTCTGTCCAAACACTGTTAGTACACCTCTTTCTTCTCATTAAGTGAAAGTAGCTGTAAATTTATCCTAACTATTTTGTATATATAAATACAAAATGATCTTTCCTTTGTATCTTTTTTTTTTGTCCTGTCAGAGGTGAATATTCTATTGGCATCTAAGTAGTATAGGTGTTGAATTCAACTAAACAATCTAACATTGTCTAGCAGTCTATAATATTAGTGGGTTATCCTCAGAAGTTACTGACTTGAGCCTTTTACAGCTCATCATATTAATAAGGCTTTACTTTATATACCTCGTTTTTATACTTTTCTGCTGGATGGTTAAGACCAAGATAAAGCAAGACTTATATAACAAGAAATGTAACTTTTGTATCTGATAAGGTCAGCCAAGTACTCTCGGGATTTATCCTGTAGCCTTGTAACGAGTTTCATTCTTACAGGTTCAGCTGAAATGTTTCCTTTCCCAAAAGGAATGATAGACTAATTTAATCATTTAAAGACATGTTCTATTTATACAATTTTTTAATCACTATAAACAAGAAAGACCAGTTATTTCTATGTGAATATAAATGAATTTGTTGAAAAGTATATGAATAAAATACTTTATAAATCTTGATATTATATTAAATTGTATTGAAAATGTGGTGCTTAAGCAGAACTTGAAAAAGAGCAGCTTTGGGGCTGGGGAGATGGCTCAGTTGAATAAGTGCTTGCCTGGCAAGTGCAAGGGCCTGAGTTCAATCCCTGGTTCTGCAAAAAAAAAAAAGGAAAAAGAGCAGTTTTTATTACATTGTATAATTATTTCCATCGTATTTAAGGTTTTTTTTAGAAGCTATGCTATTTCATACCGACACCCCCATCCCTTTTCATGCACTTGCTGTGTCTATTATTGTTTACGTTGGAATGGCATGTATGTATTTTGGTTGACAGAAGAAAATGGCTCCAGATTTGCTTTTCTAGAGTCATAATATCTTCTGTTCAGCTGGGGTTTTCAAATGTTAAAGAGAAAAACAGCTGCTGACTCTGTTTGCCATTTGGAAATAATCAGAGGAGGCAGCTGGAGGTTGTAGCTTTTTATCTCAAAGTTAAATTTGACCTCCTTCTCTTTCTTGACCCTAAAGTCTTATTTCTTTTTAAGATTGTTTCATGTTACTTTCAAAACTTTTTACTAGACACGTTTTGTCTTACTAATCAGCATATTTGTAAGGCATCCTGTTTCTGTTAAAGTAGTCAGGAAACTTCTTATTAGATACTTAGTTGTACAGAAATATTTTAAAATTTTCATCATGATTTCTTTAGATCCCTAATATTACTATACTGTTTTTTTCTTTTTTTACACTTGTTTATCACCTTCTACTTTTAAATAACTTTTCTTAATTTCCTTTTTAGAATTTGTAATTAATTTGGTATTATTAAATTTTCCTTATGTTTCAGCCGTCTGCTTTCTGTATCCATGAGGTTTTACTTTAACTTTATTATAAAGGAAGTTATAACAAAAGGCAGACTCAAAATTCGTGGGACAGGAAGGTCATGTAATTTTCCAGAGTGGTAAGGCACTCTTTAAAAAAAAAAAAAGTATAACATAATGTGCACGACTGGGCTCAGTCTTGGAAGGAACATCTGTAGATGAGGGGCTCATCCTTGGCTTCAGATGAATAAGCTCTGGTTACTAAAGTTGAAGGCAGGAATGTAGGAATCAACCATTCCATTTGGAAAGGGAAGCAAACAGTGATTTATAAATTTCACTTATCTTAGATCTGGTCAGAGATTATTATTTTGGTGACCTAGCAGGAAATACAATATTTTGTGTATAGTCGGCCTTTGTTTACTCAAATATTAAGTGATTAGTTTGTACTGGGCAGTGTGGGTAGGGTGGAGAACAAGGTAAACTTTATTGTTGTCTTCACAGAGTGTAAGTCTTGTGAGACCATACCTGTATAATGAGTAACTGAAGGAAGATTTGTTTATGATTGGTTTAATCTTCAGTTCTGCACCTTCCTTCATCTCTATATATTGCTATTAAATTCTTTTCAGTATTCTTTTACTGCACTATTATTCTCAACAGACTTTCTCTAGTTTTCTATTTCCTTGACCAATTTATCACTTTTTCTGCCTGAATTTATATGCATTTTTAATCTTCATCAGATCATTTCTTAGCTCTCAAACTTCTGTTTCTCATTGATTTCAGAATGAAGTAGTCACTTCTCAACCTTTAAGCCTTCATTTCAGTTTACCTTTTCTATATCTTACAGTGTTAGAAACTCATATCCTCAATAGATAGGCAGATACCAAAAGGTTTCTTTAGAGCAGTTATTGTCAGTTGTGGCGACTTGTAGAACCAACTAGAGGAGGTTTTAAAAAACAAAAATAAGATTCTACTATTTTACCCCAGATTTTGATTGCATTAAGGTGGGTTGTGATTTAGATGTTAGGTTTTTTTTTTTTTTTTTGTATAGGGTCTCACTATGCAGTTTGGACTTGTAGTACTCCTCTTATCTCAGTCTCTCCAGTGTTGGGATTACACATGTGCACCACCATGCCTGGTTCTGGGGCTGGAACGGGGTGCCAGGTGTTGCAGGGCCAGCCTGGCATGTAGTACTGGGGATCAAACTTAGGACCTTGCACCTGCCAGGCAGGCACTTATGCCACAACATCATTTTTTTTTTTTTTTTTTAAATGTTTTCCTTTTAGGGATAAACTATGTTTAGGTCTGAGAATCTTTCTTCAAGATTTATTTATTTATTTACTACCAGAGATTGAACTCAGGACCTTGTGCTTGCCGGGCAGGTGCTTGTGCTGCTGCTGAGCTCTTTCACCAACTCCTCGTTGTAGATTTAGAGAAATCTTTTATTTCAGTCACCAACTGTATTTCAGCTACTGAGAGATGGTATCTCTGTTGTGGGTTTTCATAGTATAGTACTGCCCTATAGATAGATGCAAGTATTTGCTGAATAACAAATAATGTGGTTATAATTTAAACTGTGTCATAGAAAGTGTTATATTGCTTTAGTGACAAATAGATTGGACCTGCCCACTTAAGAGTAGTAGCTTCATCAAAAAATTATCTTTCAGGAAATCTGTGGGTCTTAGCACTTGTATGGTTTTTTAAAGTACAGTATTCTTCCAAGCCCTGGTTTTAAGTGATTCAGAATTTTCCTACCACCTTTAAACTGCATAAGATAGCTATTGATTTTTAAAGTCATTTACCCTTCTTTATTTGTAGAGCATCTGAAAGATATTTACTTAATTTTTTGGTCTTTAGGAAAATTTCTGGATGGGCATGGTAGTATATGCCTCTAATCTAGCACTCTGGGACGTTGAGGCAGGAGGCTTGGAAATTCAAGTTCTGCCTGGGCAACTTACTGAGACCCTGTCTCAAAAGATAAAGGGCTGGGGATGTAGCTCAGTGCACAGGCCCTGGGTTCAATCTCTAGTATTAGGAAACCAAACAGAATGAATAAAATTCCTGAATAGCACTGAAATATTTTACATAGTTCCAGATGAAGATCTCAATGTCTACATAAACATTCAGATATAAATGGACTGGAGAAGAGTTTGGTATGTCAGAGGGAGAGTGTACAAAATACATTCAGTTTATAAAATACTTTCTCTGCTGGTACAATGGAAAGTTTGTGATTTTAGCAGGAGAGTTAAACACTAGCAGCCTTGATATTCGTGCTGCTATATGTCCTAGCCAATGTTGATTAAGTGTTTTGAACAGCTATTTACTTATTTATTTATTTATTTTTTTGGCGGAACTGGGGATTGAACTCAGGCCCTTGTGCTTGCCAGGGAAGAGCTTATTCTACTGAGCCATCTCCCCGGCTCCTTTAAGCAGTAATTTAGCTGAAGCTTTGTATCAGATCTGCAGTGGTGGGATAGCTCCTTTGTCCTAAAATAACAGAGAAAAACTCTCACTCTTAAAAATAACTATGCATAGCATAAGTAGTAAATTTCTTATAAACATGTTATATTGTTCATAAGGAGTTGATTGCTAACTAGAAATCAGAGTCATTTCCATGGAATAATGCTACAAAAATTGATATATTTTGGAGTAGTATATGCCTTATAATTGCTGGTTTGGCTTTTTAGGAATTATATGTGCTGTATGTCAGTGGTTAACATAACTTGACATGGCGTTATGTCTAGCTCTGAATTGCACTTTTTGGAACAGGTATGATGCACATACAGTAGTCTGAGGGTATTACTAGACTAGAGTAAAATACTGATGAGTTTCCTAAATTAAGCTCTTCATTTTGATTCTGTAGGTTCAGGTGATGCTTTATACTTATCTGTCCACTGAATTCATCGGGACTGTCAACATATATAATACCATCCGGAGAGTGGGAACAGTGCTTCTCATCATGCACACGCTGAAGTACTACTACTGGGCAGTGAACCCTCAGGATCGAAGTGGGATCACACCCAAAGGATTAGGTGTGTCGCCTCTGTGTGTAAATTGATAGTCTTATTATCTGCAAAGTTTTTCTAAATTTCATTATTGCAAACTTTATCTTAATCTATCTCATTGATAATTTTAACAGTTTTTTCCAAATTATAGTTTTCAAAGGTTAATAACTTGCTACTATCATGGGAGAACTATTTGTCCTTGTATGAAGTGTTTGGGGAACAAGTATGACTGGGATAGTAAATTGTAGGTCACTACAAATAGAGACACATTTTTAATTAGTTGTTGTTACTGGTGCTGAGATTATTTATCACAAGATTTATTGAAAAGAGTATTTTTTATTTTTATTTTTTGTATTGGGTATTGAAATCAGGACCTTGTGCTTGCCAGGCAGGCACTCATGCTGCTGAGCTATCTCCCTGGCATGAAAAGAGTATTTTGACAGGTGGAGATTTCTTGCTGAAGTATGGTTACTTGCTTTAATAATGATAGGAAATTATAAAGTTTTGGTAATTGTTTTCTTTCATGATCAGGACTAGCTGTAAGGATTATTATCCTCCCATTCATCGTGGGGGGAATTCATGGCAGGGGCTACTTTAACTTTTGCCAAAATCTGCTTCAGACTGGCTGTGCCAAAAGAGAGAATTAATCAGCTGATATAAAGTGGCATATCACTTTGGGAACAGTGTGGTACAGGTGTTCAGAACATGGCTGCTGGGCCTAATTTGTCTAGTTCTTCTTCTCTCTTGGCTGTTATCACTTCTGCCCTTCTCTATGGCAGTTATCATATTGATTGCCTGGAGTGGGAGGTCTCTCCTCTCCACTCCAACATTGTGTGAGAGTGAGACTGGGTTTAGCTCCTTTATCAAACTGAAGGGCTGCTGCTTGACAGTAGGAAATAGGTGCTGGGGAGCCAAAAGCATGCGATCTCATTGTGGTCTCAGGCTTTGGCCATTTAGTGCCTTACAGAGACACATTTCACATTTATACACAATTGTTCTGTCACCTTCAAAATAAAATAATTTGATCCTTAGAGAACATGGTATCTGTAATTTAGATAGGTGCAAGGACAAAGAGAAGTTTTATGATTTTTTCAGGCCAGCAAGGGTATGGCAGATGGGGAGCCAGGTTAGATCTCTGACACCAGTATCACGGTTCTCTTGTTGTATTCTATACCGTCCTGCATGCTGGTTTTGTATCCTAGCTTTCATATGATAATCGGTGACCTTGGGAAAGTCCTGTACTTCAAATGAGAGCGCTGGACAAACCCCATGGTTCTTTCAGATTCTTAAGCTTGTTCTTTGTCTACAAATCATCATGTGGAACAAATTTTGAACAATTTTCCTTCTATTTTAATTGATCAGTTCAAGGTCATGGTGGTCTTGTGCCTTGGTGGTCTAGGAACAAAGCTGTAAATAGTGATTACTGGGGGATTTATATGAGGCAAACATGTACCTAACTTAGGATCTTGGAACAATGGGTATTTGGTTTCAAAGCTTTCTATTTGGGAATTACATGTTTGAGACATGAAAATGGACTTAATGTGAGCCATGTGTGACCAAGGATTTTCCCAAGCATAGATGTTAGAGGTAGTAGCCATAATGTTTCCCTTTTTCACTGACAGTATTTTGCAGAGTATGCTTTTTGAAAATTGTAAAATAGCATATTCCATGACTAACATTGGAAAAATTAGTTTTCATATTGAGTATATGTATATCATTGTTCAGGTTTATGGTTTTACTTTTTTATAAACTTGTTACTTTTTTTTTTTTCTTTGCACATTTGTTATTTATGTGTAGCTATGGCTTGGGTTTAATGTTTCTGAAGGTCCACATTTTTAAAATTTATTCTTTATTTTTTAAAGAGAATCCAAAATAGTAATAAGGAAAAATTGCAAATGGTACAAAATTTCATTAAACAAAATAATATGAATTCGACAGTATTTGTTGTATTGCATAAATGTTTTCTTCAAATTAGTTCTTTGGATTACCAGATTTTTGCATGCAAAATTGGAAAAAGAAAACAATGAAAAAGAAAGTTATAAGAAATTAAGAAGAGAAAAAAAAAATGAAAGAAGACCAAAAAAAAAAAAAAAAAAAAAAAAAAAAAAAAAAAAAAAAAAAAAAAAAAAAAAAAAAAAACCCTAAGCATTAACTGCTCCTTTTCTTTTTTTTAAATTTTTTTTGACGGAACCGGGGATTGAACTCAGGCCCTTGCGCTTGCCAGGGAAGCGCTTATTCCACTGAGTCATCTCCCCGGCCCCTATGCTCCTTTTCATATATCAGCAGAAATTCACAGTACAATTATTCAAACCTTCCTGCTAACATATTGTGCGCTTCAGATTTTACTCTTTCAGGTTCTTATACTAAGGAGACAATACAATGTTTGACATGGGGGTCTGATTAATTTCACTTAATGATATTTTCAATAGTTTAAAAAACAAAATACAAGTGTATATTGTAAATTTTGTCAATTCCTTTGTGTGTGTTTGGAATCCTCTCTAAAAGATAAACTTCTTTATTGTATGTTACATATAATCTCCTCTGTATGTATTCAGTTGCCTATGAGATTGTGTAGCTTTAAAAGTGTCAAATGGATGGTCATTGTTAGAAAACTGACCTTTGTGTTCCTTAAAAATAAATGGAAAACCCATTGAGAATGAGAATTTTATTACTTAACTTTGCGGCCTTTGAAATAGTAAATGCATATTTGTATTTTTTAAAAGATGGCCCACGACCTAATAAAAAAGAAATACTATCTCTACGAGCATTCTTGTTGATGTTCATTAAGCAGTTAGTGATGAAGGTGAGTTCATATTTCTTATCATATTTCTTAGTGTGCTGTATATTGTAGCTGATAATTTTACATAAAACACAGTCTTAGTTTATTTATTGATAGTAACAGTACACATTGGAAAATTCTTTGAAAAGTGTTCCCATTTGTGCTTTTAAGTTTTTATTCTATTGAGCATATATAGATATAATCTACAGCAGAATTTGAGACTGCTAATGGTAATATGTTATATAAGTTCCTAGGAGATCTCAAGTGTATTCATTCTTTCTGAGTTTCTTTTAAATAGTAGATAGTGTTCTTGGCACTGGTGAGACCGTGACCAACAGAGAACTCCTAAAGGAGCTTTCATTTTTGAGGGGCTCTGTGTACCTGACAGGAGGTTCTGTCTGATAATTACCATTCTTACATAAATGTGTCAAATTGGTTTGTCAGCCTTTAGGAGTGAGCAGATTTTGTCCTTTTGCATTCTTTTATAGGTAAAGTAAAATTTAATATTATCTTTAAAGAAAGCATTTTGCTACTACTTTCTTCACTATTTTCTGATATTTGATTTGATATTGTTTATGTTACATTTAGCTGTCACATAGATGATGTCAAGTGAACCAATTAGTGAATATCTGTGTTTGAGATTGAAGCTTTGTTTTACGATTTTTTTTTTTTTGTTCTTTTTTTGTGGAACCGGGGATTGAACTCAGACCCTTGCGCTTGCCAGGGAAGTGCTTATTCCACTGAACCATCTCCCAGGCCCCTACGATTTTATTTATTTATTTATTTTTATTCTTTTTGCCCCTACGATTTTTTAAAATAAATTTTATTTTTAATCTTTTACTTATTTGGTACAGGATCTTGTTACACAGCTTGGACTCATAGTGATCCTCCTGTTTCAGTCTCCTCAGTGCTGGGATTAGAGGTGTGCGCCACCACACCTGTTTCTGGGGGCTGGCACAGTTCATTCAGGGTTCCAGGATCAGCATAGCATGTGCTATTGGGGATCAAACCCAGGTCCTTGTGTTTGTCAGGCAGGCTCTTAGACTGCTTAGCTATTTCCCCAGCCTGTTTTATGATTAAAATGTTGCTGGAGTCAGTTAAAAGTTTCACACTGAGCTCAAATTTAAAAGTTCAGTGATTTTTTTTTTTTTTTTTTTCGGTACCAGGGATCAAACTCAGGACCTTGCGCTTGCCAGGCAGGCACTTATTCCACTGAGCTATCTCCCTGGCCTATTTTTTTTTTTTTTTTTTTTAAGTTCAGTGATTTTTTCTCCAGTGAAATTACTATTTTAGTTTTAGTTACTTGACATCTTATCTTGTTAGCTACACTGTTTGTTTTATTCTCCAAATTACATTTTATTTATTTATTTTTTTTTTATTTTTTTTGAATTTTATTTATTTATTCATTGTGTGTGTGTGTGGCCAGCTCAGCCCACCTGGGGGCGGGGCTGGCTGGCATGTGGTGCTGGGGGATTGAACCGCGGTCCCTGTGCTTTGCCAAGCTTGTTCTAAGTAGGTGCTTTAGACCACTGAGCCATCTCTCCAGCCCCATCCAAATTACATTTTAAATGGGTAAAAATTTCCTTCTGTTGGTATGGGTATAAACTTTTTATCATAACTTTATTTATTTATTGTATTTTTAGGTCAGAGTCTACAGGGTTTTCAGGGTCTCACTACTAGATTGGACTCTGATCTGCCTGTTTATAGCTTCCCAAGAGCTGGAATTACAGGCGGGTGCCAGTGGGGTCTTAATTGCTGTCTCAGCACATGCTGGGCTGGGGAGTCGAACCCCAGCCCCTAAGCAGGCGCTTTAATCCACTGAGCTATATATTTTTTTGCCTACTTTGGAATTCTATAGCATTATTAAGTAGGCTTTCAAAGAAGGTATGGAAAATAGATGGATGTCAAATCTCCTTTGATTTTTATAAAGCATGGCATATCTTTAGTGTTTCCTTAAACTTTAGTTTTAAATTTATATTTTATATTATCAAGTTTTGGGGGAATATTTCAGGTAGGTCCTTGGTTTGTACCCTAGGCTGGTCTTGAACCTACACTGTAGTTCTATCAGGCTGGTTTCCAGCATTCTATCCTTCTTTCATACTCAGCTGCTCTATTTTTTGTATTTATAGTAGTTGACCAGCTTGACTGATCTTTGTGTGTAGTTTCCCTTTTAAAAATGTTTTCATGTGTGAGCATACAGTATACTTGTATTATATTTCTGAAGGATTCTGGAGTAAAGGAAGATGAACTGCAGGCCATTCTTAATTACCTACTAACTATGCATGAGGTAAGATTTGAATTTCTTATTTTAGGAATTTATTATTTTAATCTACATTATTGGGTCCCTTACCCAGTAAAAAAGTCCAATCTTCACTCTATCTAGCTATCTATAATGAAGGATAAATGTGCCTACTTAAGAATTAAGATGTTTATAAGCTTCATTTTAATGTCCCAAGATCTAGTTCCCGAATAGGTTATTATGTGGCTCTAATAACTATGAAACATGCTTTAAATATTATTAGATTTCATTGAATTAATAATACCAGTGCATACTACAGTCTATTTCCATGCAAATGGAAAAATACATTTCTTAATGTTAGAAACAATTGGATTTTTAATTTTTGTTTTGTTTTGTTTTTAGGGAAGCATCCACAGGGTGTTCAGGGTCTCAGTAGTAGATTGGCAGGCTCCCAAGAGCTGGGATAACAGGCGCATGCCTCCAGGCCCAGTCTCAATTGCCTATTTTAGCACACCCCAGGGGTGGGCCCAGCACGGCAGGCTTTGGAATTGAAAGGCGCTTTAATCGCTGAGCTATTTGACTGGCTCAACAATTGGATTTTAAAATGAAATAGTCTTCCCACGGATTTTGCAGATTTAAATGTTAAGTTAAATAGCTCATTTGTAATGGAACTTAAAATTATATGATTTAATAGTAGTTTCATGCTTGGAGTGCCTGTCATTCTGGTCTTCTGAATACGGGCTGCTTGTTATGACATGCCAATTGCTGCTATGATGTCTCTCGGGTAGATGGTTGTTCAAGAAGAAGGGGGTGGTGAAGGAAAGCAAGAGACAGGAAAAGGAATATTGTGGGACTGTCCTCCTTCAAGGTTGTATATGGTGAGATTTTTGGACTTATGTGTAAACATGAGTATATAATTCTGTATGCCTATTTTTAAAATATATTCTATTTTTTACATTTTTTTTTTATCATACTCTGTAGGGACTTAAAGTTCAACATATCAATACTTGATGAAAAATACCTGTTCCATATTATCCCTAAGATGGTTGATATGCAGACAGATAGTGAGGTTAAGCTTAACAGCCTAAGTTGTATGATAATAACAATAAGCTTGTCTTCTGGATGGTTAACAACCTAAGTTTGCAGACCAAAATTAGAGAAAAAGGAGGGCCACAAAGAAAGCCAACATTTTGGCCCTAGCCTTCCAAGGTCAATTAAGACTCAGGACATATGAGAACTTGTACTGTAACGTCATGTCACTCAGTAGTGTCCCAAATTTTCTGATCAAGGAGATTATGGGGCCAAAGAGGAAAGTGATCGATGATGTAAAGTGTGCCTAAGGAGAGTCACATGGAGAGAAAACATTCTCTCAGGCTTTCACAGAGAGCACATTGGCCAAGCAATGACCGTGACTCATCCACATGACTGACACTGACAATGGTACATGATCTCAGGATAAATCCTGAGTGGATTTCACTGACCTTATCAGACCCAAAAGCTACAACTCTTGTTGCATAGGTCCTGCTTTACCTTGGTCTTAACCATCCAGCAGAAAAGTATAAAAACGAAATATAAGAAGTAAAGCCATGCTGTTATGTTGAGCTGTAGGGGACTGAGGTCAACAATTTCTAACATTGCCAGTCAAGCGGATGACCCAATACTATTATGGGCTACTGGACTCTTTTAGAATATTTTGCTGTTTACACATCTATAATATTCAAATAACAGAACTTAACGAAAAAAGGGGATACAGATGAATGCCCATTTTGTATCTGTGTATTCAAAGTGGTTAGGATAGAGATATAGTTACATTCTCTTAATAGAGTGATTTGTTCTAATGGTGTTTGTAAATAGGATATCATGTCTGCATCTTGTACAGCAATTAACCACTAGGAAGAATGTATGCAATATGTTAATTATTGAAACTGTTCTACCAATTTGATTTGAAACTGTCTCATTGCTATTTATTTATCAATAAAATTATGGGAAAAATATTATATGATTAAAGGGAGATTGAAAATTAAATAGGTTGACATAGCTGATCTTTTTTCCTGCAGTAATATTTTAGTATCATTAGAATGCAATATATGAAAAAAAAGAATGCAATATATGCCAGGCATTATTGATTTAAATAATCTTATTAAATTAAGGTGTAAATAACTGAAGTTTGTAGACTGGTGGAATAACATGTCACTTCATTTAAAATTATAATTTATATTCCCACACTATACTTAATTTCCTTTGAATTGAAATATATGCTTTAATATGGAATGGTGTTGTCTTTAATAATTAATAATTGACAGTTAATGATCAAACTTATCCTTCATAATTGAGGCATAAAAGAATGGCATAAATTTCTTAATTAAATTGTAGTTTAAAATCATTAGTAATTATGATTGTTTTCCTTTTGAGTAATGTGTTTTTTTTTTTTTTTAGATTTTGTTTTAACCAAATGTGATAATTGACATTTGGTAGTGTAGTAATCTGTCAGTTTTTGTGGTTTTTGTCTTTTGTTTACTCTAGAGGTGCAAATGAAGTACTATATAAAACGTAAACTAAAAGTCACAGTGATCCTTTGTTTTCTGTCAGTCTAGCAGTTCAGGGATGTTTCAGGTTTTCCAAATGACACTTTTCCAAAGTTGTAGTGTAGGTGTAAATCATCTACTTAGCAACAATTACATGTTCAACTAGCTTTGTAGCAAAGATTCAGAAATACCAAAGGAAAATAGAGTCAGGGGATCCAGATTATCAAATCTGTGATAGCCGTTTCCCTTTATTTTGGGTCAGTATTGCTCAACCTAGCCCTAATGATACACTGCATAATGAAATACCCAGCAATGGCTGTGAAGGATTTTTGTGAAAATTTTTTAAAGTCCAGAACTCATGCAAGCTTCTGTGCTCATGTTCTGTAAATGTTACTGAATTTTACTGCATCTAGTGCCATGTTGATTCAGTAAAGATTTAGGGATCATTTTCCTTTTTTACATTGGTAACAGATTAATGTCTAAGAACTGTCCAATTATCATTTCACAAAAATGTTGTACAGCTTGTTTCCTAAGAGACATGATAAATCAAATATTCCAAATTAGTTAAGAAAATTACTTCACAACCTGTTGCTCATACCATTGTCACATTTATAACTGATTTGTAACAATTATTAGCATAAAGGCGCTTGCATTTTTGCTGTGATTAAAAAGAACGAGTTTCCCCTCTTTTCCCATCTTGGTGTATAAGCATTCCTTTAAAAAACAAACAAACAAAAAACAAGTCCCCTCACAAACAAAAAACAAGACAACTCTCAAATCAGGTTTACTGTTTATATTGACTTTGGTTTAGAGAAGCCTTGATTTAGTATTGCAGTCAAAGATATTTTGTTGCTTTGATTTAGAAATTTTCTGTTTAGTAATGAATTTTTTTAATAATGAATATTTTGAGTTCTACAGATGATTGTGTATATTAAAAAGCAATTGCTCAAAGCGTGTTTTAGTTGTGTCTATTTTTCTAAAGTTGAAATTTTTTTTTTGTTTTGGAAATACTCATACTCAAGTAATTTCTGTATTTTTATTTTGAATATCTTAAATAATTACAGGATGACAATCTAATGGATGTTATACAGCTACTTGTTGCACTAATGTCAGAACATCCTAACTCTATGACTCCTGCTTTTGACCAAAGGAATGGGTTACGGTAAGAGTTTTAATTTTATTATAAAGGATTAGTTGGAAATAATTTTAAATATAAGTAAAGAAGTCATTTGCTCTTACATTATGAAATGAGTTTATATCATATAATGAGTTAATCATTAGACTCCTCTATTTCATGTATTATAGTTTTTAAATGAATTGTAAATTATACAGAATAAACCTTTACTAAAGAAGACACACATTTTTCCAGTATTTTGTGTGGTGAGTCGTTTTTAAGCTTACTGTGTGGCTGACTTCTTCACAAGAGTTATCTTTCGGTCCTATGGCAACAGTATTTAATTGTGATCCTTTAAAATGTCACTTTTATTTCCCAGTTCCAAATCATCATTGTTGAGTTTGTTGAAACTATCATAGCTAAATACAGTAGATTTGGTGGTGTAAATTTACTTTCTCACACTTTTGAAGACTGGCAGACGAAGAACAGGTGCCAACTTGGTTAGAAGTCTATGAAGGCTGTCCCCTTGGCTGGAGACATCCTCCTTTGGATCTTAACATGGCAAAAAGAGAGTGAGCTCCCAGTGTTTCTTCTTATGAGGACACTAATCTTATGGGATCAGGATCCCACTCATGTGATACTTTTTAGCTTTAATTACTTCTACTTCAGTGAAGGCATCAATTCTGTGGCTGCCCATAAGATTTATTGTTTACATCTAAGTAGGATAATGTTTATATTTTTCTGGAACCTGGATAGAATAAGCAGCTACTCTTATTCTGAGTTTGAAATATTTTTATAAAGGTCAGACCCTTTTTATTCCCACTGGACATTTTAACAAACAAAGTAGGATTATAAATACAGATTTTTTTTTTTTTTTCTTTTTTGAGATAGGGTCTTGATTTTGTTTTTTTCTGCTTTGTTTCTTGGGACAAGGTCTTGCTCTATTGTTTAGGTTGGCCCTGAACTCAGGAGTTTTCTAACTTCTGTGCTAAGCCTTGAACTTCCTTGTACTCCAGGCTGGCCTTAGACTCACAGTGACCTTACTACTTATGCTTTCAGGGTGCTGGGCTTACAGGCATTGCACCACTTCCAGCCATGGGTCTTGTGTAATCCAGGGTGATTTTAAACTCACCATGTAGCCCAGACTTACCTCTATCTTGCACTAATCCTCCTGCTTGAGACTTCCAAATGCTGGGGTTACAGGATTGTGCTACCAACTTCTACTTTACTCTTCTGTACAGATTAAGGCTTATGTGCAAGACTTCACTTTTTTTTTTTTTGTGTGTGTGTATTATATACATAATTTTTTAGTTCTTTTCTTAGTATTTGTTTAAAATAATCCTTTTTTTTTCTTTTATTTATTGGGTACTGGGGCTCACTATGGAGCTCAGACTGCACTGATCCTCTTGTCTCAGCCTCTCCAGTGCTGGAATTACAAACATGTGCCACCATGCCTGGTATCAGTGGCTGGCTCTGCTTGGCGCGTCGTTTGCATAACATGCAGTACTAGACATTGAACCCAGGTCCTTGCGCTTGCCAGGCAAGTGCTTAGACCACCAACCTATATCCCCAACCCCTCTTAGTATTTGTATGAATGTGTGTTAATTTTCTTGGGGGGGGGAACTTCACTAATTTTTAAATTTAAAAATGGTTACAAGGTAGGAAGATATACATGTAAATATTAGTGAGAAGAGGCTTTCTGTTGGCAGTCTGGGCAATGAAAGTTTGTATGTGTTTAGTCTTAGTGAAAAACTCTCTTCAGAGCTTTATTTTAGCTTTCTTAGTTCTCAGTAATTTTGTTGTTGTTTTGTCCAGTTCCTTTGAACAAATATTCTCATCTTTTGTGTTTTTAATTCCTTTACTGACCCTTACTACCATCCTGTTTAATTTGTCTGTTCCTATTTTAAAAGCCTATACTTTTTCAGTGTCAGAAAGTTTTCATGTTAGAAATCTTAGACTCCAGTGTGTTACTTATTTATTACAACCATTTATTTCATTGCATTTTAAGATTTTCTTTCTTTATGAATTTTTATTTTTTGGTACTATTTTGAACTATATGACTGCCACATTACTTGTAGGAAGTTGCTACATATACATAATATAATCTTAAGTTCATTTCTCATTTTTCTAACGTTACCCATTGTGAAGTTTTTTACTCCATTAAATGCTTGTCTTTTGATCTTGCTGTTCTTACATCATTCTGTCTACTGCTCCTACCTTTGCTTGCTTCTTTTTAGTTTGAATGATTGCTGGAAGTAGGTATCTAATGCAAACTACCTTCTGCCCTTATGTATCACATCTGCTTGTAGGAATTCTAATTCTAGATCATCCAGGAAAGCACCATCAGCTGGTGCGGGAAAATTCCTATGCCTCTCTATGTTTTATTTTTTGGCTGAACTGGGGATTAAACTCAGGTCCTTGCGCTTGCCAGGGAAGCACTTATTCCACTGAACTATCTCCCAGGGCCTCTCTCTATGTTGATGCTGTCAGGATTTCATGATCTAGCAGTTAACAGTTTTTTGTTTGTTTTCTTCTTGGTACTGAGGGTTTAACTCAGGACTATGCGTTTGTCAGGCAGGCAATTATTCTACTGAGCTATCGCCCCAGCCCTGTATTTTTTTTTTTTAAATGATTTTAGACCTTCCATTTTTAATTCCTTCAGAAAAAATTCCTGACATTTTCAGGTTTTTTTTTTTAAAAAATAGATTTTAGCAGTAACACCTTCATCTACTTCATTATAGCTTTTAAGAGGGAGTTATTGCAGCTTTCTCTTCCTTCTCCTAAGGTGCACATCACAGGCCTTTCCTCATTTTTTTTCCATAATTTTATTGAGAAACAAATAGCAATGAGACAGTTTCAAATCAAATTGGTAGGACAGTTTCAATAATTAACACATTGCATGC